CTAGGTCCGACATGGGAAGGCCCCTATTGGGTTTCAGTTGTCACCGGGAAAGAATTATACGAGTTGGAGAATCAAGATAGAGAAAAGCTGCAAAGCAACTAGGACGTGGCACACCTCAAGAGATACTATTGATGATGAACATCACCTGTACTAAAAGTATGTGCTGCACTATTTTTCCCTCCGTCCAGTTTTTGTACCAATTGGGTTTTTTTGGCAAGGTTTTTAACGAGGCAGCAACAGAAAGCATATTACGAAGGAAGTTTCAACAACAACAATAAGACCTTTTAATGACAAGGCACACAAGCGAAGAACCACTATAGAGCGGTTAGATAGTCTTTTGCTCGATAGCAAAGTTCCTATCGGGAAGTTAAGTTTGCTATCGAACAAAGATTACCCGACAGTTCACAAGTGCAAGCCACTAGGGGGTTGTTAGATAATCTTTGACTCAATAGCATAAATTCCTAAGGGGAAGTGAAGTTTGTTACCGAACTGAAGATTATCTAGCAATTCGCTAGTGGAATCCTCGAAGGTATAAAACTTCCAGTGTTCAAATACGTATTCTTCGCATTCGAACACTAGGGGGAAATGATATGAGGATACGACAACAACGACTGCCGCTTACACCAAAATACAAAACCCGGAAGCATAGTTGTATTATCGGGACCGGGGACTGCGCGACCAGCCCCGTAGAAACAAGTTGTACAACTTAGCCACAAAAAATGACAATTTCTTTGTAGCATGACGAATGCTTATGTACTTCTGAAAATGGAAGGAATAAAGTAAAATCATTTTATTTCTATCGTGTTTCTTGTATGAACTATGAATTGATTTTGTCATTTGAAAGTTAAACAAGTACTTTAAATGCTAGTGTCGTAATGAACAAGAGACGTCCTCTTCAAGAGCACTGTAAACACAAGAGGGTCCTCTTTTATGAAAACCCTCACGTTAAAGGGTTGGTTTCGGATGGACTTACGCCCGGAATCCAAATGCCTTCGGGGAAAAATGCACTCGAGGCCTTGCATGATCAAACATAAATAGTAAGACTTGCGCAAAACACTTAAAATAAAAAGGACACAAAGATCAAACTTGCACAAATGTTTAAACGGAACTACGCAGAAAGGAAAACTCATACAATACCTGAGCAGAAAAAGTGTTTTTATTTACAATGAATGTGCCAAACGGCACAAGTACAAAAAGTGGAAAAGGAAATCAAAAACTAAGTTGTTGCATCTCCGGAACCCGGAGGAAGAGAAGTATCCGCGCCCCCAGGAAAAGTGGGTAGATCCGCCGCCGGTTCGATGTCTTGGCCTTCATCATTTTGACCTTCAGCTTCATCACCTTCTGGTTCCATTTCAGTTCCCGAGAATTTGGAACTGGAACTAGAAGAATCGGTAGCATCAGGCCTGGCAAGAAGACCACTTTTAGCAGTTGACTCCAGCTCGCGGGCTTTAGCGATTTCGGCATCAAAGTCAATGACACCCACTTTAGCCTCTTCCAAGGTTTTTCTCCCCGTGTTGTACATATCATATGTTTATTCAACAACGAGGGAAGCCACTCGGCACTTGAGTTCTTCTTTAAGTTGATCGACCTCAAAAGAAAGATTTTCCCGCGCGAATCTAACAGACAGAAGGCTGACATCGAGATCACGGACAATAGAGTTGAAAAGTCTATTATGCTCAATGGTCTTCTTATTCTTCTCCTCCAATTGGGCATACTTCACCCCGGAGACAGCCTTGCGATCGGTGCATCAATGATGACACTAAGGACTTCAACCCATTTGTCCAAAGCATCTTCAAATTGAACCCTCAACGGGGCGATCTCTCGGCTAAGGGTCTCAACTTCTTGCTCGCTTTGCTGCAACCGAGCCTCTAACACAACTGCCTTAGCAGCTTTAGCTTCCAGTTCTGAGAGGCGAGCAGTAGTTTGGTCCCGCTCGGAGGTAAGTTCCTCCTTATCTCGAATCAACCCTTGGAGGCCCTTGGAAGCAAGAAAATTGGTATGCAAAACGAAAAGTGCAAACTCAAAATACTACTATATCAAAGATAAAAGAGATAACGAAGGAAATGAAGAATATACTGATACAGCGTTGCGCATAGCATTATTCAACAAACACTCTCCCAAGAGAGCTTATATCTTTTCTCTATCTTTTTCTGAAGCCAAAGGCTTCAGATAGTTAGCAAGTTCCACTGGCTGGGACAATAGGTTGCATCAGGTAGAGATCGAAAGAGTAACGCTCCTCCTCCTTTGCGAATCTTCTGAGGGGGCGGCATAATTTTACCCCAAGCTCTCATGAGCTGGGGACTGTGGAAGAGGGACATCCTCTTCTCGGACAGTTGTGGCCGGTGGAGATGATGTAACCGTTGCTAGTGGTAAAGGAAGAGTTGGTGAAGAAGTAGATGAAGTTGATGGCGTTGAAGGATGAGAAGTGGCTGTGGTAAGTGCAATGTTGGTTGTTGGTTGCTCGTCAACCGAAGACAGCAGGGACCCGATACTTAGCCTCACAGTAACAAGCATAGTGACTGGGATCCGGAAACGGGAGTTGGCATTTTTCACCATCTCAAACTCCCCCCAGAGCATCGAGGCAGCATCCTCGGTTGGTGTAAATAACTCAATAGATTGAGCAGTTTGTTGAGTTGAGGAAGGTCATCGTCTTCTATGTAGAGAAGCCCCCTCCTCGCTGGCTTCCCCATCATCGTCAATTATCACGATGTCCATGGCTGGCCCGGGCGGGGGACTCGTCACCACAACTTCCGAAGACAACTCGGGAGTGACATTCTTTGCTCTCTTATTATTTTTCCTGGTCGCGGAGGAACGTCTTCTCTTTGGTTGTTTGTTCTCCTGCCGAGGACTCCGAGAAGAAGAACTCACACTAGAAGTAAGCCTAGAGACACCTATTTGTGTAAAAGCCTCATGCAGCAGCCTCGCCGCATCAGCAGGATTAGCCAAAATGCCCTCCTTGGGGACGACAACTAAGCCCCGGGGTAGGCCTGAATTCAACAGGAGAGAATGATCAAACGACTTCCTTATATGAAAAGGTAAAAACTAAGACGAGTTCAACTTACCATGATTTTTGGCCTTCCATCCGTATTTAAGGAACAGTTCTTTCCACATGCGGGTTTCGGGTATAGTAACATCCAAAATATTTTGGACCCATTGGTCCAAACCTTCAACTCTAGGTGGAATCCACCGAGTCGCTGAAATAAGTAAAAGAAGAAAGGTCAATAACGATGTGGAATGATCTTTAACGGAAGAAAAAACAAATGGTATACTTACAAGTGTGGTTCCATAATTTCGCAAAGGCTTGAGTCGTGGCTGGGATGATATCACTGGTGGTGACTAAACGAACCGTTCCATCCACCCACGGTCGTTGTCATCATCCATGCTGGATAGCAGAGTATGGTGGTCGCACTTGCTGAATTATCATTCCCCCGTAGAAGATCTTGGGGGAATAGAGGTTCATCACTCGAGCTAGGGTTAGCTCTTTTCCCGTATCTTGGCACATGCGTCGAAGACAAGCAATTGTCCTCCACATGAAAGGACTTACTTATGCCAAGAACACCTGGCAGCGGAGGCATAACTCCACGATGACGGAGTTAAGCTCTCCACTAAAAGAAAACGCTCCCAAAGTAAAGGGATACATGTAAAAATACGTAACATTCTTCTTGGGTAAGGCTATCCACTCCGCCAGGTCGGGGGCGATAATATCCAAATCTTGACATTGGCAGTCTTCCTTCACAACAGGGATACTGAAAAGACGGATGGAAGAAGGGTATACGCTAACGGCCCACGTATGAGGGTGAGCAGAAGGAAACTTCTCTTCAAAATCTTTGGTAATGACTAGACTCTTTGGGATAATGGTGCTCACCGTGGGGGGAGCAGCATCATCAGCTTTACCTTTGTTCTTTGAAGAATTTGGGTTTCTAGAAGAAGAGGCCATTTTTTTATCAGAAGGAAGGTTTTTTTTCTCTCAAAGAAGAAAGCTAAAGACATGTTAAAGACGAAGTATGAGTTGAGTAAAGAAAGTTTGAGAAAATTTAGATTATTATGAAGTGTAAACGAAGGAAGATGATGTGTATAAGTAAAGGTATAGGCGGCTAAAATCGTGACCATAATTACCTCGATAACCGGCAAAATTGATGCTAAATCGTAGGATGACGCGGTTCGAGGCATTAAATACGGAGAGATGTACGTCTAATCAACCGTCAGAAACTTTTCAGAGGGGATTTGTGAATTTCCCGTCAAAAAGGTGTTTCTACCGACTTCCCGATGACACAAAGTTATGCCACCGAAAAGTAGGGGGACTATGTGTATATGGTAAAATATGTTTATATTAAATGATCACATGAGGAAGTGATACGTGGAGCCGAAGTCAGAAGGTAGTCGAATCCGGAGGCAACGATCCCGTCTGTTACCAGAAGGAATGATATTCATAAAGATGAATAAAATGACTGCCACCCGGTAGTATTTAATGAGTAATATTCCATAGTAGTAAGTACGCGGCCCATTACAAGGAATATGACATTCACTGCCTGCCGTTACACATTCTTCAATGGCCCTCATAATTGTCATTATAGAGGAGCTTGATCCTAGTACCTTATTCCCTAGGTACAACCATAAATAGTGAGCTCTATTATCATTGTAAAGGACACGAATTTTCTGAAAAACATATGCTACACTCTATTTAAAGCTCAATATAATTTTATCTTCTTGTTTACTGATCTTGTTGTTATTGTCCCCGGAAGCCCTGCTCCCGAAATTATAATTTCTGCTATTTTATCTTCGTCTCAAGGCTAAATATTACATTTTTTTCTAATTCATCTATTATTTTAGGATCAAATTAGTTTACTTGTCTATAAACCACGTATAAATTTAATTATATTGTTTTAAGGGTAAACAAATATATGTATTTATATATAATCTATTTATACTCGATAAAAAAAGTAAATTGTGCATCCAATCAATTATTTATGTAAGGATTGAGAAAAAAAGATCTCATATGCAATATAGTGCTTCGGCCCATGCTCATCCTCTAGTATTAGGGTATAAAAGTTCAAATGTTACCCGCCTAGGAATTGGTGGGGAAAATAGTAAAAGACGATTGACGGGAGAGAGAAATATGCCGGTGGCAAGGCCTGAGTCATCGGATTCTAGAGTTATTGCTCATGTCGACATGGATTGCTTCTATGTTCAAGGTTCTCATTTTCCTCTTCCCATTTACCTGAAAAATTTGGAATTTTCATCACATTTGATTAATTTGTACTGATATTAGGGCATAAGCAGACTTGACACTGTAAATAGTTTCCCTTAATTTCCCTTTTTAAAAATCACAATTTTCCCCCTTTTTTTTTTTGCTCGAATCATCTTTGGAATTATGATGAAACTCTACAACACAGAAAGTTGAATTTCACATATGAAATCGTTGTGAAAATTAAGAATTCTTGTAATACTAAGGTACGCGAAGACTCTATGATGCGCACTTACAGTTAGGGCTAAATAATGCTCTGCTTATTGGTGTATGTACGCATTACAACCTTCATATTGAGAATCTAGTTTGACATTTTGATATATCTATGTACTGAACAGATGCACTATGGTACACATTAGGCCATTGAAGTTCTTTCTGTAATGATCATGAGATAGTGATGTTACCATGTTTTTTAATAATAGTGATATGCTACCAGCTTTTTCTTGTGTATTTACCTTATTGCTGTGCAATTTCGTTACGCCATGATGTCATTTTTATAGTCTGTCTAACTGGTCACACTGTGTATCTGTAGTGGAGCAGCGAAAGCAACCAAGTCTAAGAGGTCAACCCGCTGCTGTTGTGCAGTACAATTCTTGGCAAGGTGGGGGGCTGATCGCCGTCAGTTATGAGGCTCGTAAATTTGGGGTGAAGCGGTGAGTCTGTGTGACTTTGACTGTATGAGTAGTTAGCCAGTTATTCTTGGAGAACTTTTGATACGCATCAATTGTTTGAGCACTGAAATATTTACATGTTTAAGCTCAATGCGAGGTGATGAAGCAAAGCAAGTTTGTCCGGAGATTCATCTTGTTCAAGTCCCAGTTGCCCGTGGTAAAGCTGACCTAAATTCTTACAGGAATGCAGGCTCAGAGGTCCATTGATACTGAAAGCTATCCTTGTGCTTTAAGAACGAAAAATGTGTGCTGATAATCATAGCATAACATAATTGCAGGTTGTCGCCATACTTTCAAGAAGAGGCCGATGTGAGCGTGCTTCAATTGATGAAGTGTATTTGGATCTCACTATAGCTGCTGAAGCAATGTTGGCAAATAATCCTCCTGAGTGCCTGGACACGATCAGTGAAGAAGCAGTGAAATCACATGTTTTGGGTCTTGAGGTAGTAGATGTCATTTAAAGCAGCGGTTTTTTTTTTTGTTTGTTTTTCCTCCTAACTGCAAGAAACTTTAGTGCGATCGGGTAATGGCATTCAAGAGCAACATTAGTTTAGGGTATTGAAGTTGGATTTCATTTAGAAGGCTGTTTCAGACTCCGACAAATCAGCAGAGCATATCATTGATCAATCAAGGCCTATTTTCTCATTTCAAGTAATGAAATGCTAGAACAGAAAGTAAACTCTATTATATTTTGAAATGATAGTAACGGAGATAAGAAAATATATATGGCAGGCCTGCATAATATGATGGACTTCTGCAAAATAATGTTGCAAATTTTTTCGTATTGGCCTTTCTTAAATACATTTTTGCTTTTTTCTGTTATACTTATATTTTTGTATTTTATCCATATCCCTCGCGTTCTGCTGATATCTGCTGACTTAGTTCCTGCACAGGTTGGTAGCGATCCCGGAGAGAATGTCAGACATTGGCTCACTAGAAGTGACGCTAGTCGCCGTGATAAGTTGTTAGCCTGTGGAGCCCTTATTGTTGCAGAACTTCGGCTGCAAGTATTAGAAGAGACTGAGTTCACTTGTTCTGCAGGCATTGCTCATAATAAGGTGGAAATACTTAATATTTTGCAACTATAATAAGGTGGATATAGTTCTCAGTTTAAATGAAAAATGCATCAATTTTTATTTGATGATTTATCTTGGAAGAAGGTTTTTAGTAACTTGAGTATGAAATTGTGAGCAGATGCTGGCCAAACTAGCAAGTGGAATGAATAAACCTGCTCAGCAAACTGTGGTGCCTTCCTCATCCGTCAGCAAATTACTTGAAACTTTGCCTATAAAGAAAATGTAGGGGTTTGCACAGAAATCCTCTCTTGACACCTTATTACCATCTTTTGAATAGTTAATAATATGCTGGCTGCTTAATTATGTCTTATTGAGGTTGAATTATTTTCTTTTTATATTCTTATTCTCAATCTTTTCCATTGACTGCTCTAGGGTGTCGCACATGGTTTCTATAATGTAAATGATATTTCTTGGCTTGTATATTCTTGTAAATACTTTTATTTAAACATGGCTTGGTATACAATTCGTTCGCAGGAAACAGCTTGGAGGAAAACTTGGAACTTCTTTGCAAATTGACTTAGGTGTGAACACTGTTGGGGATCTGCTCCAGTTTTCAGAAGAGAAGCTACAAGAGTATTATGGAATAAATACTGGGTGATAATCTACTCGCAGTCTCAGATGTGTTAGTCTTCGTAAATCTTTGGTCTGTCTATCATTGCCCATGTTGGGGCTTACTCCTTTTTTAAAGGCAAGAAGACCACTAGTTGAATTAAAACCGTGAATTAAAATAAAGAATGAAAATAAGGAATTTTATGACCAAACTGTCTCAAGATAGCTTTACTCACTACAGTTTAGTAATTATTCCCATGCTTCTAATTAAGGTGGAATTATCCATATCTAGTCTAGTCTCATAGGGGCGTTTGGGTTAGCTAAAAAGTTGGTCAACTAATTTTTTAAGCAGTACTAGCTTTTACGCTTTGCCCAAACACCCTCGTAGAATGCTTTTTTCTCTCTTCTAATGGAAGTAATATAAACAGGAAAACAGGTCTTGTGAAACGCCAGTGTACTGATAACCTTGATTTTACTTTTTCCCAATTAAATTCATCATTTTTTCTGTTACTTCTTCTTGTGTTATGCTTCTGAGCTGATATATATGCCTACTTCAGTTTTATAAATTTTTAGTGTTTTTATAGAATTGTTTGATGTGCATAGACAGAGTAGAACACTTGCTTGCAATTTCGTGATCAGATTGGTCAATTATGTTTATCCTAAAAATTTCTAGGTTTTTCAATAAGGTTCTTTTTATATGTTGATAGACACTAGTGAAGTTGATTGAAAATCATTCTGAAAATGTCATTTCTCGATAACCTAATTCAACCGTTCGAAATTAGAATTTATTGAGTGACCACATATTTGACATGTTTAATAAGATAAGAAAACTGATAAGAGTAATACATAAAGCTCTATTTAAAATCCTATGGCAAGTCAAAGAAATTGATTCTATCACTAACAAGTTGAACAGGGTTGAGATTAAATATTATTAAATAAAAGAAAAAGGAAAAATGCAACCGCACATGGACAAATTGACAATTAACTATTATTTCGTATATTAACCAGTTGAGAAAATTAACTGTATTTCATTATGGTGCTTTCCTGTTATACAAAAAATTAGCTTTTGGTAAGCATTTGAAGTTAGTTGAAATTATACGCTACTCCCTCCATCCCAATGAGAATGCCACTATTATTATTTGGAGAATCAAACTAATTTTCCTTGAATATAATTTTCAGAACATCTTAAAAACATTTTTAACTATTAAAATAATGTTACCTAGGTTTTGCTGTACTTTTCTAAATATGTGAAATTTTTTCTGAATATTAAGAAATGAATGGTTTTTAATGTAGCCCATTAAATATGTAATGTTTTACAAAAATATTAAGAAATGAATAGTCTATTTTACTAGATAAGTTGATTGACGCTTGTACTTCAAATTCAAACCCTGCAATTCTTCTTGGATGGAGGGAGTACCAAGTAATAAGCTCGCATAACCTAAAATCAACTATAAATCAATTTTGTATTTAATGATATATTCCACCATCTTGACCTTTCAATATTTAGTTTAAGATTGATCAGCTTAAAAATTTTCCCTTACAATTGATTAACTTAAGTTTGTTGTCTACTGACAACACGTTTGGTTCTTGAGATTTAATACTTTAATTTTTAGTCTTACCATGTAGCCCCTCTGTGGCCTACTGACTTTGTTGTGCTTAACTTGTACAGTTCCTGGTTATGTAATACAGCAAGGGGCATTAGTGGGGAAGAGGTCAAGGAACGCCTTCTTCCCAACAGTCATGGTTCGGGAAAGACATTCCCTGGACCTCGAGCTCTTAAAACTGTTGCTTCTGTAAGTTTTTCCCAAACTGAACATCCATCTTCTGCATGATCACTGATCTATCTTACTCGTATCAGTTAGAAATAACTGATTTAGGGAAAAATAGAAGCAACGATGTTCTGATTTTTACTTTGTGTACATTTACATTGGAATTTTGTTTTGAGTTACTAAATGTTTCATCTACCAATTGTAATTGGACCTACTCTACTTTATTGATTTGTTTCTAGGTTGAAAAGTGGCTCAGTGAACTCTGCGAAGAACTTAGTGAACGTCTTCAGTCTGATCTAGAACAGAATAAGCGGATTGCACATACTCTTACTCTACATGCTCAAGCACACAAGGTTGGCTTTTCTTGTCATATCTCCAGCATGATGACATGACTACTTGCAAGTTCCCTAGCAATTTAGAGTTTCCTGAACTTGCATACTTTAATATTTGCTATGTGCAGTCAAATGACGCAGATTCGTTTAAGAAATTTCCATCAAAGTCATGTCCACTAAGGTATGGGACTGCCAAGATTAAGGAAGATGCCCTCAGCCTGTTTCAAGCAGGATTGCGTGAATATCTTGGCCAGTACAATGTGAAGACTTCAGGAAATCAAAACTGTGGGTGGGGAATAACTGGTCTTTCTGTTTCAGCCAGTAAAATAGTAGCCATACCATCTGTAAGTTCTAAGTTGCTAGTAACAATAATGTATTTCTTTCATCCTTTTCCATTCACATTTTTATCCTATGTCCAAATCTCCATGGAATAAATTCATAAACCTCTGAGATGAGTAAACCGAAGTACCGAATGAACAAATGAAAGCTCATAAAGATGGTTTTTGTTTCTCTTAATGATATATGAGAAAGTTCATTGCCTTGTTACCTTGTTGCAATTGCTTGTTGCTTTATTTTCACTGTTCCTTGAGCCGAGGGTCTACCGGAAACAACCTCTCTATGTTCACAAGGTAGGGTAAGGTCTGAGTACACATTACCCTCCCCAAACCCCACTTGTGGGATTACACTGGGTTTGTTGTTGTTGTAATGATATATGAGAAAGGGATTGCACAACTACTATTAAAACTTGATATGATAAATTCCTTTTCTTGATTGCTTCTTTCAGGTTACAGTTTGGATATAATCAGTAAATGGCTTAATTCTTATTAAAGTTTATTTTGTGATGCTTTTCTTTCTCTAATTGATTATTCCGAACTCCATGACTCCATCCAAATTGAATTTGCTTGTTGTTGATCGCATTTTTGCTACTTGTCTCATAGGTTCTTAACAGGTCTCTATTTCAGAAAGGAATTATTTTTTAATAAATGAACATGGTCAAATGACTTTCCCTGCATAATGGCAGCATTGTTGCTGCTGACAGAATTCCTGTTGCGGTGTATATGCCTCAGGCAGTTTTTCCCAAATCTGGTTTACATTTATTAGTGCTGATAACATTAAGGTGGTTAACTTTGTTGCAAGTGAACATGAAACTCTACTCTAACTCGAAGCAGCCTCTTCAGATTTACCATATGTTCTATTTTCATTGATTATTTCTCAGTTTGAAATATGTTCAGCTTCTTGAAGCAACTGTGGGGTGAAATTGCACAGTTATTAAAACATAACCTTGAACAAATTAATATCCATGGAATGAGTAATATCCTCTGTGCTAGAAGTTACTTTAAGGTGAACTATATTACGTGTATTCGCTGAGTTACCTATAAATTTTGTTGTGTGGAAGCAAAGATAAACAAAAAGGTAATCTCAGATTAAAGTCTATAAGGATCAAATAAACAAGAGGAAGTGCCATGCGATCTGTTTATGGTAAATTATAATCCTAAATAAACATCCAATTGACAAAAGGAGTTTACTTAATTTGAGGTTATTTGAAGAGGAAAGGATGAAAAACTTAATTTCTCTGTTGCTAAATAAGGTAGTTTAAGTAGGTCAAGTGCAGCTGAGTGGAGCTACTAATGAAGAGCTCCAACTTTGCTCTTTGCTGCATGTTTCTGGCTAGTTATTTGACAGTTCAATTAAGAAGCTTGGGCCCATGGAGTGAATTGTATAAAAAAAATTGAAATGTTTTAGGGAAATCTTACTTGAGTATAGGGTTTCCTGTTGTTTCGTTTTAACTGAGACTTATTTTTCAATATGTTTCTTGGTTGATTTTTTACTTGAATGGGAGCCTTAGAGCAACGGTTAAGTTGTCTCCATGTGACTTATAGGTCACAGGTTCGAGCCGTGGAATCAGCCACTAATGCTTCATTAGGTTAGGCTGCCTACATCACACCTCTTGGGGTGTGGTCCTTCCCCCGACCCTGCGTGAATGCGAGATGCTTCGTGCTCCGGTTGATTTTTACATCTAGCATATGCTTAGCGTCATGGTATTAAATTCTCCTATTTAATTCTATTGGCAGGGTACACGGTCTATCATGAATTATTTTCAAAACCTAGAGGAAATTTACCCTCAAGTAAAACTATCCAGCGAAAAGCTTATCCAAGATGCTCCACTTTTGTCACCTTCAGGTTGTATGCCCCTATGCTAGTTATCATCTGTATTTGTCTTTTGGCATTCTTTTGTTAATTGATTGTCTTACCTTTTGGAATTGAATTTACAGAGAACTGTCTAAGAAGTGGAGGTCATCCAACTTTGCAGTCAACAGAACGAATAGCTCGACATGAGGAAGATAAAGAGACTAAACATTCCATAGAGGAAGAGGACAAGGAGATGTTCAAAGAAAAGGTTTGATGTCGTTCTTGTTTGTTTCAATCTGCATTGGTCTAATACAAGAACATCATCCATACAATATAATGTTTACAAGTCGTGATTCAGATAAAATCCAGATTATTTTGAATATTAATTATGGTATATTTCAAAAAGCTAGTGCGGATTTTTTT